ACTAGCATACTGTATCAGATTTGTAGCACTAGGATACTGTATCAGATTTTTAGCACTAGCATACTGTATCAGATTTGTAGCACTAGGATACTGTATCAGATTTGTGGCACTAGCATACTGTATCCGATTTGTAGCACTAGCATACTGTATCAGATTTGTAGCACTAGCATACTGTATCAGATTTGTAGCACTAGGATACTGTATCAGATTTTTAGCACTAGCATACTGTATCAGATTTGTAGCACTAGGATACTGTATCAGATTTGTAGCACTAGGATACTGTATCAGATTTGTAGCACTAGGATACTGTATCAGATTTGTAGCACTCGGATACTGTATCAGATTTGTGGCACTAGCATACTGTATCAGATTTGTGGCACTAGCAAACTGCATCAGATTTGTAGCACTAGGATACTGTATCAGATTTGTAGCACTAGGATACTGTATCAGATTTGTAGCACTAGGATACTGTATCAGATTTGTAGCACTAGCATACTGTATCAGATTTTTGTCACTAGCATACTGTATCATATTTGTAGCACTAGGATACTGTATCAGATTTTTAGCACTAGCATACTGTATCAGATTTGTAGCACTAGGATACTGTATCATATTTGTGCGTGATCGTATGACATAGAGATTTGTAGCACTAGCATACTGTATCAGATTTGTAACACTAGCATACTGTATCAGATTTGTAGCACTAGCATACTGTATCAGATTTTTGGCACTAGCATACTGTATCAGATTTGTAGCACTAGCATACTGTATCATATTTGTAGCACTAGGATACTGTATCAGATTTGTAGCACTAGCATACTGTATCAGATTTGTAGCACTAGGATACTGTATCATATTTGTGGCACTAGCATACTGTATCCGATTTGTAGCACTAGCATACTGTATCAGATTTGTAGCACTAGGATACTGTATCAGATTTGTGGCACTAGCATACTGCATGAGATTTGTAGCACTAGGATACTGTATCAGATTTGTAGCACTAGGATACTGTATCCGATTTGTAGCACTAGGATAATGTATTACATTTGTAGCACTGGGATACTGTACCACATTTGTAGCACTAGGATATTGTATCACATTTGTAGCATTAGGATACTGTTTCGCATTTGTAGCACTAGGATACTGTATCAGATTTATAGCAGTAGGATATTGTATCACATTTGTAGCACAAGGATACTGAATCAGATTTGTAGCTCTAGGATATTGTTTCGCATTTGTAGAATTAGGATACTGTATCAGATTTGTACACTTTTTGTTGGAGAATTGAGATATGAGAATAATTAACAATTGTACGGACGTGTGCGCCAATGACATTTAATGACTTTTACGTAGTCTTTGTGACGTAGTTTCACAATTAACGATGCTTCATTATTAACCTTCAGGTTTTGATGGAAGCTTACTAGCCGTTAATTTAATATTTGTAAACAGACAACCATATTGGATTCCAAGACACGTGACGTGTGATTGAGTGCGTTGTGGTGGCTCTCTTAAATTTGCCGGGGTTAACTGACTTTACTGTTTGGATCCCAAATTAACACTAACCCTAACCCCTAACCCTAACCCTAACCCTAACCCTATAGATCGCCACAGGAAAGATTTAGGCTAGTCCCACTACTGATCTTTGTGAAGTTATTGGGTTTTTGGGGCTCCAACCCCCACCCCCCCTTCCCGGTCGGGTGTTCTCTGCAAATCCATGCAGCTGCAAGAGTAGGGTGGAGGTAGAGTGCTGGCCCTCGAAAATTTTTGATGAGGTATTAAAAAAAAAATTTAAAAATCTAAACTGGTCAACTTTAATTGCATCGGTTCAAATCTGAAATGACCCTTCAAAAGTCACAGGACGCGTCTGAGCAACGTGCCGAATTTCAGCTTGATAGGATGACGGGAAGTGGGTCGAAAATTTTGCTTTAAACAAATTATACGAACGAAAGCGAAGCTAGTATAAAGTTTTTTTGTTTTTTTTTAAAGTTTGGGGGTGGTGGGGTGGAGGGTAGAAATGACACCTCACGCACAAACATGTAAGATACATGGGTAGCCAGTAATGAGTTACAGACATGATTTCTTTTTTGTCCAGGTATCAATGGCTTTTCATACGGAAATCTGCCAGGCCTCTCCGTGTGCGTGGATGACGACGTTGCCTGGTACGTGATGTCCGTGGGTTCAGAGCTCGACGTCCACACGGCCACCTTCGACGGCAACACGTTCACGGAGAGGGGAATACGGCGAGACGTGCGGAATCTGGTCCCTGGGGTGACCGCAACCTTGACCATGCAGCCGGACAACTTAGGTAGGAAAGTTAATTAGTGGACCCAAATCAATTAAGTAGTGAAAGTAGCATATGTGTCGTGAAAGTAGTAGATTGTAGTTAAAGTAATATATGTGTAGTGAAAGTAATATAGGTGTAGTCAAAGTAATATAAGTGTAGTGAAAGTAGTATATGTGTAGTGAATCCAATATATGTGTAGTGAATGTAATATATGTGTAGTGAAAGTAGTATATGTGTAGTGAAAGTAGTATATGTGTAGTGAAAGTAGTATATGTGTAGTGAAAGTAATATAAGTGTAGTGAAAGTAGTATATGTGTAGTGAATGTAATATATTTGTAGTGAAAGTAGTATATGTGTAGTTAAAGTAATATATGTGTAGTGAAAGTAATATATGTGTAGTGAAAGTAATAAATGGGTAGTGAAAGTATTATATGTGTAGTGAACGTAATGTATGTGTAGTTAAAGTAATAAATGGGTAGTGAAAGTAATAAATGGGTAGTGAAAGTAATATATGGGTGGTGAAAGTAATATATGTGTAGTGAACGTAGTATAGATCTAAGTCTTCTTCAATAAGCAAAATAGCTCTATTGAAAAAAAAATGCACTGTTTGAAGTTAAAGTAAGAAAATCATTGAAGCACTGAACTCTGAGCCCTATGAAACACTCGTAGCTTGAAAGAACTGGCTGAAGACAAGTAATTGGAGCAATTTGCTTATGCTAAAAAAAAAGAAATTTTCCACCAATCAGAGCTGCGCTTTCTTTCTGACCATATTGAACAAGCAATTAATTTATTTTTATTTTTAGAGCTTTTTTCTATTGTATTGTTCTCACTTTTTAAAAAAATTTCACTTCCCTTTATGTGTCTTACAAATGTGTTTATTTCTCTGCCCTTTATATGTCTTACAAAAGTGTTTATTTATCTGCCCTTTAAAAGTCTTACAAAAGTGTTTATTTCTCTGCCCTTTATATGTCATACAAATGTGTTTATTTCTCTGCCCTTTATATGTCGTACAAATGTGTTTATTTCACTGCCCTTTTTGTGTCTTATAAATGTGTGTCTTAACACTGCCCTTTTTGTGTCTTACAAATGTGTGTCTTAACACTGCCCTTTTTGTGTCTTACACATGTGTGTCTTAACACTGCCCGTTTTGTGTCTTACAAATGTGTGTCTTAACACTGCCCTTTCTGTGTCTTACAAATGTGTGTCTTAACACTGCCCTGTTTGTGTCTTACAAATGTGTGTCTTAACACTGCCCTTTTTGTGTCTTACAAATGTATGTCTTAACACTGCCCTTTTTGTGTCTTACAAATGTGTGTCTGAACACTGCCCTTTTTGTGTCTTACAAATGTGTGTCTGAACACTGCCCTTTTTGTGTCTTACAAATGTGTGTCTTAACACTGCCCTTTTTGTGTCTTACAAATGTGTGTCTTAACACTGCCCTTTTTGTGTCTTACAAATGTGTGTCTGAACACTGCCCTTTTTGTGTCTTACAAATGTGTGTCTTAACACTGCCCTTTCTGTTAATGCCCTACATCCCAGGCAAGTGGATGGTCTACTCGGGCTCAGCGTTCGCCAGGGAGAACGGTATGTTCGCTTTTTACACCGTGTCAGACTGCGGCAACGGCTACCCACAGAGGGACCAGGGGCCAGCGGGAGTGCTCAGGAATTACTACCTATCAGCGGATGAGGTCATCTGGGACTTCGCCCCTTTGACCAGAGCCATTGTCACGGGAGAGGACCTTAATGACCCCAACGTGTAAAAAATTATTATTTTTTTTTTATGTTGTGT